AAAATGTAGCTATCAAGTGTTGCCCAGATCTAGAAATAATTGCCACTTCGCCTAGTACATCTGTCAAATTCTTGCCTCATATTTTGTAAGGAGGTTTACATAGAAGATATAGTTGTCACTATTCTAGGCAAGGATAAAGGTTCTGTTTAATAGAGAAGGGACATAGTGATGAAAAGGTACATCAGGAATGCTAGAAAGTGGCCAATGGGGCCCTTCCAGCATTCTTTCCCCCACACCTTCTTGCTTCCCTGCACATTTAATTCCCAGAAAAAGCCAACTTCCCTAGGTCCCTGCCAAACTGCTCATCTTTAAAGTTTTGATGAAGTGATAGCTATTGCAAATTTTATTACGATTGTAGAACTATCTCTTAAAGTTTTCACAGAACAATTAATAATGACACCGATTTTCATTTTAACTTGTTCCTGTTAGACCAGTTGTCAGTTACCTTAGTTTTTCCTTTCATCTTTCTCTTTCTGCTCCCAAATCTCCACTCTCGGTTTCAATGTACTTAAACTAAGGAAGCGATTTAATCTCGGTGTTTTCATGTCTTTCTCTTTCTTATATTATTTTCCTAAGCCAACACACATCAAGTCCTTAAGCAGTTGGAAATATATTAATGGGCTGAAACAAGAAAAAGAAAGAAAGAAAACTTCCGACGTTTGTGCAGCTTTGAAATGGCGGAGAGGTCACTCAATCATCAGGGAGTCAGCCTTAGAGGGCGGAGAGCTTATTTGTGTATCTTACATCTTTTATAGAAAGAAACAATAGCCTGCTCCCTCGGTTCGGGGTTCTTGGCGCCGCCCAGTGGAGAGAAGCGCCTTTGCACCTTATTCCTGTCCATTTTGGCGCTGTCAGCAAGTGGACCTAGAGAAACGTTCAAATTAAATATGACAGAAGAAACACCAGCCCTAACTTCATCAGAACTTGCGAAAAATTTTCTTCAAATTTATTCAGAATTTTAAAAAATATGATGCTCCAGTTTAAAAGAGATCCAAATCTAGGTAGTGAAAGTGGACCGGGGAGGATGAATCAGGGGACACAACTGCAGAGGAGCAAGTGTTTGAAAGTCTCTGTATTAGGAAAGAAGCATCTTTGGTGTTGTTTGTTGACTGGCACTGATATGGCCTTCAGAGCCAGGAAATAAAAGTTTGTCCTCTACTCACAGTTGGCAAACAACTCCTCTCTGGGTAGTAATTCTTAAAATTACAGAATTTTCTTCCTTCTTAAACATAAAAGATAAAATGAGGGCCTGTAATACCGTTTTAAAAATTCATGTCAGTTTAAGGACTCTATTTGTATTTTAAATCCAGTGGGGAAATCCGAGATTAAATTCAGTCAATACATACCCATTCACTTGGAAATGTGATTAATCTACACCCTGAGCTATTTTCAAAATTCTGATTATTCAAAAATGAAACGTAAATTATACTTGTTCTGCCAGAAAAATGCAGGGTTTTTGTACATATACATTCGTATACCCTTAGAAAAAGAATGGAAAAGAACGTCTTTGGAGAAAAAAAAAAACTGAGAAAAGTTAAAATCCTAGCTTTTAAGAATTTATTTTTTATTGTTTGTGATCTGGTCTGTGAGTCCCGCTTTTGATCCTTCAGGCCATTACTATGATTTCCTCTCTGGGAGGGACCCAAACGTAAGAGCCTTGAGAAAGTCAAGGTCCTATTTTCCCTTCACCACTGTTACTCCCAAAAGCTAATCTCCTAACACTCTGCCAAAGAATCTTCTTCTTTGATATTAACCTTTTCCTAAGAAAATATGATCTGAAACAGTCACAAGGTGGGCCTACTGGGTTCGCGTTTGTTTTGGAGTTTCCACAAAACCCGCATACCCTTCCCCCCAACACTTCTTCCTTCTACTCTTCCTTTCTTTTCAGATTTCTTTTTTTTGGGGGGGGGGAAGGGTCATATTTCTGTTGTCTCTCCTGCCAGTGTTGTGAATTATTCCAAGCCATCCGCCCCGAAAAAACAAAAAACAAAACAAAACCCAAAAAAACCCCTGTTGAACCGCCCAACACAAGCTGTGCGATCAGCCTTTTGAGCTCTTGAGTCATTTTAGGCGTCAGAACAAAACAAAAACAGGCTTGAATGAATTATTTATCAAGGTCTAGAATAATTGATTTGGGCAGTGCCGTCAGTTCTGGATTTTAAATTTGTTTTCTCCCTCTCCCCATTTCCCACCCCGAACACGCGGCGAGGGGAGTGCGAGTTGGAGCCCCCAGGGCGAGCAGAAAACGCACCTCGTGTGGGAAGTTGGTAGGTGATGTCAGAACGGGGAGAACCCTGATCGATAATTCGCGCGCCGTCTCGGCAGCCCCTGCGCCCTTCCCGCCCTTCCCACTGCGGTCAGCTGTGCCAGGGGCTCGGCGCGGAGCCCGCGGGGTGTCCTGCGTCGGGCTGGCGGGCGGGGCCTTGCTGCCTGGGACGAGCAGTCTTTGTAGGTCGCCGCCGGCGGTCCGTGCTCGTGCAACCCCGGCCCGAAGGCCAAGGCCTGGCCCGAAAACTCCGGGAGCGTCTGCCCGGCCAGCACGCAGTTTCAGCGCTCAAAGAGGCCGATCCAACCCTGCTCCGGCGCGCGTCCCGGCCCTCCGCGGCGTCCTGCCCAGGCTGGCCGGACACGACCCTCGGCCGCACGTCCCCGAGGGGCTCCCCGCGCCCCTCAGGGTGGCGAAGGCCTCTCTGCCCCGAGCTCATCCGCGTCCCGCCTCACCAACCCCGGCTCCTCCGCTCCACTCCCCTCGTCCTCTGAGGAAAGCCAGAGCTCCTTCCTCGGGTCCTCCTCTCCTTGCTGTTCCCAGAGACAGCACGGTGAAAAATGGCTCGAGGATGATTCGAAACAGCTCAACGTACCCTCGACACAGCGCGGGCTTTTTCTGGGTGAAACACCTCGATTTCTCCAGGAAAACGCAGGGGGCATGAGTCGCCCAATACCCGCTTCCCGACCGGGGCTGGACACTGCAGTTCCCAACGAAAGGCAAGATCCTGTCCCAGGAGGACATCTGTTTCCCTGGTATCTCCCCTGACTTCGGCACAAAAAGCTGTTCCCCGGACGGCGACCCACGGAACCGCCGCTAAAGCCCAGACTTCGGCCCAGCCCTTGGAGACTCGAAAGGCCATTTTCTAACATCATTCTGCACCTAGTCACGGAAGCGATGCCAAGCTCGCAGATTCATAGGGTTCTTAAAATGGTAATTTGGAGTAAAATGTAACTCAAAGAACTTTGAATCATTCATTAGCACCTTATAATTACTCTGCTAATTAGGTTGACACGGCACTTAATCAGGAGTAATATGCCGTCTTGTCACTGGCACTTCCCATTACTCTGACATTCAACAAGAGACAGTTTGGAGACGTCCTAAAGAAAATAATGCAAGTTGATACCCTCGGACGAGGCGTCACAATCACGCTCCGGGTCCCAAGTGGATCCGCAGCGACTGTTTGTTTCCAGGTGAGCGGCCGGTCCTGGGGGGGGGGGGGGACACGGACCACCCGGCGCCGCCCGAGCCCCCGCCGGCCTGACCCTGCGGTGAAGGGCTGCCCTTGCGCCGGGGATCGCCCCGGGCGCCGTTTCCCCTGGTGGGAAGAAGGTGTCTGGCCGGACGGGCTCCCGCGGGAGCAGGGCTGGGTCCCCGGGCTCAGGCCGCAGGCCCGGTCCTCGTAGCAGACCCGGCTCGGATCCGCCACCCGCAGGCCCGAGCCGAGCGCCTGGGCTCGGGCAGAACCCGGAGCGGAGTCCGGCCGCGCATCTGAGCTCGGCCCGGAGTCGCACACCTCCCCGCGTGTGCCCTCGGGCCCCGTCTCCGAGCCCCGGGTCTCCGGACTGTGCGCGCGGCTGGGGGAGCTGCGAGTCCAACCGCGAGTCCGCCGGTCCCTCTACTCTTCGGCCCTCTGCGCCCACGCTCCCCGTGACTTAAGAAAACGCGCCCGGCGTTACCACCGTTTTCTGCCCTCCCTTAGGTTCCCTTTATCTCGCGCGCTTCTCTCCCCCCGCCCGTCTCTGCCCCTCGCTTGTGATTGTGGACACCAGCACCCCTGGACTGGGTACTCGGCCCGGGGCTGCGGGCAAAGCGATGCGCGGGTTCTCAAAAGAGCAGCGGGGTCCGCGCGGCGCCGGCTGACGGGCTCCTGAGCCGCGCGCCCATTGGCTCGTGGCACGCCGGCGTCGCTCGCTCGCGCGGGCGTGGCCAATGGGGGCGCGGGGCCGGCGCGCGGCCTCGTGGCGGGGGCTCGGGCGGCGTGGCGTGGGGAGCGGCGACAGTGGCCGTGACGTCACGGGAGGGGGGTCGGCGCCGCCCGCGAGCCGCCGGATTACAAGCGAACGCGCCCGGCAGCGGCCGGAGTTGCCCGGCGTCGCGTCTCCGCCGTCTCCTCCGCTGCACCTGCTCCTCTTCCTCCTCCTCTTCCTCCTCCTCTGGTGGCCGCGGCCGCCGCGGTCGTTTCTGCTCCGCAACTTTTCCAAGAAAGTTCAGAAACTCGGCTCCGAGGCGGCCAGGCGGGTCGCGCGTGGCCGCCACCTCGGGAGCCGCCGGGGTCCGCGCTCGCTGCCCCT